AGTTTGTGAGACTGAGACCTGCACTGGGCTCTGCAATGATGGCACGGAGCCTCTCTCCCTTTCTGTCCCTCCCCTACTCACGCTCACTCTCTCTCAAATAAATAAATAAATAAATAAATAAATAAATAAACATAAAAAAGAATACTGTCTTATTACTTTAAGTAAATTGTTTTTTTCTTTTGAAACCTATACGATAATTAGTTTCATGAGTGTTTCACATGGGCTTGATAAGATGGTATTATCTTCCTTCCAAAGTGTTAAAATCAAGACTTGTGCATAAAATCTACCTTATATTTGGTGTTTTAAATCCTTATTTATTTTTTTGTCCTGTGAACTGATAGTTGATGTTTAGTCTTCCTATCCACAATTATGTTGTCTTTTAAGGTTTTCTTTTTTCTAGTGTTCAAAGTTTTTCTAAAACATGTCTTGTTTATTTCATGTTGAGTTTATTTCTGTTCTTATTAGTGTCTATTGTAAAATGGGAAAAGGAGTCTTTACTTCCGTTACATCCATAAACTATTATTTTAATAATGCCATCAGTAGAATTTTATCCCCAGCTATCCTACTGGATTCTATTATTTATAATCATGCAAAGAAACGATGGTGAAATAAGTGGAAAATAAATCTTCATACAAACATTTTTTAAGTGGTCTGTGATCACAGGAAACCGGTCCAGCCTCCAGGTCCCATATGTTCAGCTTAAATTCTATTGAGTCAAAGTTGTCTCTTCAGAAAATGAGCACACTACCTGACCTAGATAACTTGCCGCCTTCCTCAATTCTGAGCTCTTTGTATACACTGCCTGTTGAACATTCCTGGGGGACTCAGTCGTTGAGCAATCAACTGCCGCTCAGGTCATGATCTCGCTGTTCCCTGGGTTCCAGCCCGGAGTGGGACTCTGTGCTGACAGTTCAGAGCCTGCAGCTGCTTCAGATTCTGTGTCTCCTTCTCTCTCTGCCCCTCCCCTGCTAATGCTCGCTCGCTCTCTCTCAAAAATCAATGAAAGATATTAAGAAAAATTTTTTTTCAATCTTTCTTGTTCAAAAACAAATTCGGACCTTGCGTGCATATCAAAATAAACGTCTATTTTGATCTATTTTAAATGATTTTTGCCTCTCCAAATCTGAAATGCACTGATGTTTTGCCTGGTCAAAGACGAACGTCAGCGGTCAACGGCCCTCCTACTCACAAACACGCCGTCCAGTATCCTCGGAGATTCCTACTCACCCAGCACCCCAACACGGACTCACTTTAAAACACCCGAAGCTTCCCTCAGCCCAACCCACTCCAAACACTTATTCCTATGGGCCCAAGCTCACAACACAGCTAGTTCCCCTCTCCCGGGCCCGCAGACACCGCCCCTTCCCCACCTAAATCCCACGTCCTCCTTCCACCCAGTATTGGCCACACCGAGAAAGCCCAAGTCCGGTGCGCTTCCGTTCGAGCTCGGACCACTGGGGGCCAGAACGCTCAGGACTCCTAAGAGACCACCGCAGGCCAGAGACTGAGCCGTAGGACGACCACCCACCTCGCGGGGCCAGCGGCTCTTACTTCGCGCGACATTTCCCAAGTTCCAGCCCCATGAGCTAAGCTTCTCTCGTCAGTCGGGCCGCTTTTCGGCGCTGTGCGTCGTTACCCAGGCGTCTCCGTGGGAACCGCTGCTTTTACGGCTCGGCGCGTCGTTACCCAGGCGTCTCTCGTGGGAACCTCCGCTTTTACAGCCCGGCGCGACTTTCCCCAGGTGCTGGCGGTGTGGCCAGCTGGTCCACGCCTGGCGGCCGGGAAGGACCCGGCTTCTTCTTAAATATAAAAAGCAATGTAGGGGAGCCTGAGTGTCTCCGTTGGTTAATCCAACTTTTGATTTCGGCTCACAATCTCATGGTTCATGGGGCTAGAGCCCCGCATTGGGCTCTGAGCTGACAGTGCAGAGCCTGCTCAGGATTCTCTCTCTCAAATAAACTTTTTAAAAAAATGTATATGCCTTAATTTTAAAATGATTGATTAAAAACCATCAACCATTATCTGAACTTTCAGCAAGTTGTAATCTTTCCGTTGTTGGAGGGTCTTGCCTCAATGTTGATGGCTAATCAACTGATCAGGGTGGTGGTTGCGAAAGTTGGGACAGCTGTGATTTAAAATAAGACAATGAAGTTTTCCAAATCAGTTGACTCTTTCTTTCATGAACAATTTCTCTGTAGCACGTGATGCAGTTTGGTAGCATTTTACGCACAGAACTTCTTTCAAAACTGGGTCCATCCTCTCACACCCTGCCGCTGCTCTGTCAGCTAAGTTCATGTAATATATTTTCAGTGCTGTGTTATCATTTCAACAGTCTTCACAGCATCATTGCCAGGAGCACGGTCCATCTCAGGAAACCACTTCTTTGTTCATCCATGGAAAGCAAATCCGCATCCGTTTTATCCCAGGTGGCGCAGCTCCCTGCCGTCTTCAGCCCCCCTTCTGCTTCCGGTTCTCCTGTTGCCACACGTCCGCGGCGACTTCCTCCCCTGGAGTCCTGAACCCCTCAAAGTCCTCCCTGGGGCTGGAACCAGCTTCTTCCCAACTCCTGTTCGTGTTGAATCGTGACCTCTTCCCATGAATCCCCAATGTTCTTCATGACATCTAGGATGGTGACTCCTTCCCAGGATGTTTTCAGTTTACTCTGCCCAGATCCATCAGAGCAATCGGTGTGTATGGCAGCTATAGCTTC